GTCGCCGGAGGCACTCTCGGCGTCGGGTCGGGGCTCCGAGAAGATGAGCTTGCCCGCGCTTCAGTCGAAGATGAAGTGCGACCCGGAAGGGTACTTGCAGGAGCTCCAGCTGGTGTATAACCAATTCAAGTCCGCCGTGGATCTCTTCGAAAAACAATTAGAGATGGGGTTCACGTCCGTCAGCGGCGTCGGCAACGACCCGGCCGTCGCGAAGGACCTTGGCGACCGGGCGATGTTCTTGGCTCACGTCACCCCCTTTTACCCGACCCAGATGGCCCATTTCCCCGTCGAGCTCTCCCAGTTTCTCTGCTCCACCGCCCGAAAACTCCCCTCGGGGCTCCGGCTGCATGTCACCCAAGCTCTCATTCTTCTCATGAATCGAAAGGTGCGTCTATTGCACGTGTGCTTGTGTGAATTTTGTTTGAAAGATTGGGAATTTAGTGTTGAGATGTGTTTGGTTGCTGAGAAAGTGTGAGAAATAGTAAAATTGACTTGCTTAATTTCGATATTCGTGTTTGGATGTGTTGTAGATGGTTGATTTGGGAGACACTATAGCCATGTTCATGGAGCTGCAGACGTATGGGGATAAGCCTTTGAGAAAGCTGGCATTTTCTCATGTGGTTCATAGCATAAAGCGAATGAATCAGAAGCATAAGAACGAAGCAAAGAATCGGGCACTTCAAAATGTTGTTTTTGAGATGCTACGGGTTTGTTATGCTATCACTTTCTTGTCGAAATTTCAGGGCTTTTTGTTAGTTTAGTGCTTGAATTTATTTTCGTTTTCTTTGTTTCGGTAGCAAGAGGATGAAACAAAAGCAAAGAGGGCGCTTATCACGCTACGAGAGCTTCACCAGAGAAAGCAGTGGTTTGATGAAAGAACAGCAAATGCGATTTGTATTGCGTGCTTTCATCCATCTTCAAGGTTTGCATTGTCTTTTTTGGTGGTTTCTGTGTTGCGTTCTAATGTTGGGTTTGAAAGCTTACAATTTATGTTCAAATGCATCAGGATAATGATTGCTTGCCTCTCATTTCTGCTTGATTACGAGAAGTTTGAAGATGGTGATAGTGATGCATCAAGTAGCGAAGATGAAGGTCCTCACACATCTCAAGTAGTCCTTAATAGAGAGTCTATTTATAAGGTCAGTCTTGAACTATTACTTGAAAGTTATTTCAAAACCAATTTATTTAACCCAGATTTTGTATCATGATATGTTACACATAATGAATTTTGGGTGGTTATCACATCCTTTTATGTAACTTGGATTGAATTGCACTGTTTGATGCATTTGATTGCATCTGCATTTATAGTTTATGATTTTTTATGAGAATTTTTCTTTGCACAATCAACAATATTTCTTATTTCTTCATTGCCTTTTAGGCACACCATCAAGGTACAATTGCTAGCAAAAAGAAAAAGAAAGCAAAACTGCAGCGTGCCATGCGTAGTATGAAAAAACAGCAGCGCCTATCATCAGAAAAAACTAATTCAAATTATCATACGCCACTTAACCATTTGCAAGATCCACAGGTTTGTCTGATCTTATCATCTAGTTAGTATTTTTATTGTTTCTGTTGATAAAGGAGATTTGACAGATCATTCTTCCTGCAGGGATTTGCTGAGAAACTATTCTCCCGCCTTCAAACCTGCAATGAACGATTTGAGGTAAGTGGTCGCAATTGTAGAATTAACAAAGTACAAAATACACATATGCTTGTCTTATGGAGAAAATTGTGTATTGCCCGTGCAAAATTGGAACTATCGTAGTGAATGAATATTCCTAAGTTAGCTGTGTTTGATCTTTTAATTCGGTTGAGTGCACAGGTTCAACTACTCATAACATGGCATAGAGCAAAACACCAAATCCTCGTCATGCTTTGTTTATATCCCATAAGTTTCCATTGTTTATGAACTAATGGTGGAAGTTGTTTTTGTCATTTGTTTTGATTATATATCACCCTTTGTTAACTGAAGGTCAAGATGATGATGTTGAAAGTAATTGCCCGCACGATTGGGCTTCACCGCTTGATTTTGTTGAACTTTTATCCTTTCCTTCAGAAATATATTCAGGTACATAATCTGACCTATCCACTCAATGTATATTCTCTTGAGAGTTGAGTTGTGACTGTCTTGGTATCACAGCCTCACCAACGCAATGTCACAAGTTTACTTGCTGCAGCAGTTCAGGCTTGCCATGATATGGTCAGTTGGCTTTTCTTTCTCTGTCCTCCCCTAACTTTTTACGTTCTTAAAGTCCTAGTAACAATTGTTCAAATTACATATTATGAATGAACCTTTCCAGTTAAATTTGATTTACTTTATAATGAGCAGGTTCCTCCTGATGCCGTTCAACCACTGTTCAAACAACTAGTGAATCAATTTGTACATGATCGCTCACGTCCAGAGGTGTTACTTCATAAATTATGTTTTAGTATATTCTTTATAATTGGCTTGACTATGTCTCTGATCGCTTGCTTTCTCCAGGCCATAGCTGTTGGACTGAATGTAACAAGGGAGTTATGTTTACGGATTCCATTGGTAACAACCTAATTATATCATTGGTTTCGGGCCTTACATTTCAAGTTGTCCAGTACTCATCTTTAAATGCATTGAAGTTAATTAATCGTGGTCTATATATATATATATATATAATTTTTTTTATTTTCTTGCCATTTGTATTCTGATATAATCCAAGAATGTTTTGCTAGGCTTCCATAATTAATTTTTGTTCCGTGGATGCAGTTGATGACCGAAGAGTTGCTGCAAGATCTTGCATTATATAAGAAATCACATGAGAAAGCAGTTTCAATAGCAGCGCGCTCACTTATCAGTTTATTCAGAGAGGTCTCTCTCTCTCTCTCTCTCTCTCTCTCTCTCTCTCATGCATGGACTTGCAATTGCTAGTGCATGCATTTCCATGAACCATGATTGTTGCTGAAGACTGACTATTTAGTGTCCATACAGATTTGCCCCTCACTGTTGATTAAGAAGGACCGTGGACGCCCCACTAACCCCAAGGCAAAACCAAAAGCTTATGGAGAAGTCAGTGTACTCAGCAATGTTCCTGGTGTTGAACTGCTAGAAGAAGATGATGGCAATGAGGACAGTGATGATGCTGATGAACATTCATTCAGCGGCACTGATGATGATGATAAAGATAATGATCTTGATCTTGATCGCGATGAGATGGTTGCTTTCAGTGATGATGATGACAACCATATGGACAACAGTGACAGTGGAAGCGAAGATGATGGAATAGAAGAGGATGCCGTGGTAGCTGAAGATGAAGATGGTGATGATAGTATAGATGATAATGACAGTGATGTCAATGGGAGTGAGGATGAGGATGACGATGAAGATGAGGAAGAAGAAGAGAATGAGGAGGAAGAATCTGACAACGATGATGCCAAAGGTAGTGGACATGGAGTAAAAGACAACAAAGCAAAAAAGAGGAAGTTTGCCGATTTTGATAAACAACTTAATCATGCTGAATCAAGTCTTCGGGCTTTGAAGAGATTGGCCAAAGAGAATATGGAGCCTGCTTCACTGGACTCAGCTGATGGTTTTCTTTCTAATGAGGACTTCCAGAGGATTAAGGAGTTAAAGGTTTGTTTTTCTTTGTTCCCAAACTTAAGTTGATGCCAAAGGTGAAGCATGCTGTAAGCTCGTAACCTTGACCATGAACAACAATTTTAATGTTTTTAAGCCGTCTTTGTAGATGTCATAAAACCTTGCTCATTGTTTGATGCTTCTTTTTGTTAGGCAAAGAAGGAAGCCCAAATTGCTTTGACTCGGCAGGGATTATTGAAGAAGGGCGCAGACGCCAAGTCACCCGCATTCAAGATTCCCAGCTCATCTGAAATGAGCAGTAAGCGAGTAGATCCTGCAAAGCTTGAAGTAAGTTTAAATTATTTTACTCGTTATGACTCAGTATGCTGCTTTTGAGACATTCCTGGGAGAAAAAAAATTTAGAAACGTTGGAATGTTGTTAACTCCCATACCTGTTGCTTCAAGAACCCTTTAGCTGTTCTACTGTCCTTGGTGTCTTATAAATCCAAGGGGAAAAGAGACGTATAAAGCTTTTAAAACGTATTGTGCCTTCTTTATTACTCAATTTGGGCATGCACCATGTAGGTCCACGTAAAGAAAAGGATGAGCAAGGAGGAGAGATTGGCATTAGTGAGAGCAGGGCGGGAGGAGAGAGGGAAGTACCAGGCTCGAGCCGCCATAAAACAGAAGAAGGTATGTCCTTGGGATTCCATTAGTTGCCACATGACAATTAATGGTTTTAGCACTCAGTTCACTTTTCAAAGGAGAAGTGAATAAATTGAGCTCCAATAGGGTTCTGACCGGGCTTGATCTTTGTTTTGACACTTGTATTCATGAATGACAACAGACGGGAGGTATGAGCAACAAGCAGAAGGAGCACAAAAAGCAAATGCCTATGGCTGCAAAGAGGGCAAAGGTTGCTAAATCTCGCGTGGATAAAAGGAAGCAGCAGCAGCGATCTGGCAAACAATTCCGAGGGAAGAAGGCATGGAAATGAGGAGCGTTATCAAATTTTCTTCCCGTTTTCCCCTTTGTGTTTTTTACCTGAATGAAGAGAGTCCATGGGATGCCATTTTTGTAGTTGGCAACGTGTGATTACTCGTAAAAATGTTTAATGACATGTTACCGGAATGTGTTTGACCATAAATATTTCGTAATATTTAAAGATTTTGGCACTTCGCAGCGGTTTAAACACACAATCTTATGTGCAAGAGTAAACGCTCTGAACAACATAACATCCGATGTGATAGTTATGTTCCAAACTGATTTATGAACATTCCAAACCGAAGTTAAATTCCACCATTCTTGCGTTTCAGTCTCCTTTTGACGAAAGATGATCGTTACCAAATCCACAACGTGACAAGTGTATGTTGGACGGGTGGTTTACTTTTTGACGGTGTATTGCTATTTTTTCAGCATTTTCTTCAGTGGGGCAGCAGTTTTAAGTTAAAAGTGAAGGTAACACTATCTAAATTAACCAGATCCTGGGCATGAGCAGCTCCATGGACGACGTAATGTCCCAAATGAAAACTATCATTACACCACCAAGGAATTTTTTTCTATAACGCAGCCTACACTAAACTCGGATTCAGGGCAAGGGGCAGAAACGAAAGACCGGCGTAATCTAATACAACAAAGGTCGGCCAAGAGATGCCTTACTCTTCACCGGAACACGAAGGCAAATCACTACTCTGGCCAAAAATATCGGGAATTCCGTCCCAATTCTTCTTCTCCCTAGTTTCCCAATACCCTCCCACGTAACTATAACAACCATCCTCGTCTTTCCGAAACCATCTTGGCTGCCACCCTCTCTCTTGCAACTTCCTTGCCTGCACAAAAGTATCAACAGTTGCTAAATACAATTTAAGAATAGAAGAATAGTTTACGAATAAAGTACACCCCATACAGGAGCCCATCAATTCCCGGAAAACACCTGGGAAATGGCATTAGCCACATTCGGTTTCGAGCTGAGTCCTGAATCTCAAACTCTCAAGATTATAGGCCAGATATGAGATTGAAGTCATTTTCAATTAAATTCAAACGGCATTAGGCTCGCAATTAGATACAAGAATGCATGAAACGAGGAGGATCTATGGGTGAATAACGGATCAAAGGAGAAAGAGGATGTACAGGGGTACCTGTCTTTGTAGCTGTTCAAGTCTTAGTTTCTCTGCATTTGCCAATTCATAATCGCCATTCTCCAAATGTCTTTGATCTGGCCTTAGCCTTGAGTCTGTAGGCGGTAACCTCTCCAATAGGCCAGGTGTCAGTTCATTAAGGGATATTGCAAAAGGAGAGAGATTGTATCTTGTCTTGGTAACATAGTCATCTCTTTCCCAGAGAAGCACAGCTTCTGTCATAGGATCATAACCCTTTGGTTTTGTAGTTGGATCTCCCAGCACGTAGTACATTGCCTCGTCCCACTTACCCACCAACATTGCTACTTTCTCTCCAGTTCTATTGTCTTGAACAAATCCATGAACCTGAAATTCCAATGGCTAAACCTGAGTGTAACATAAACATGAAAATCGGGCCGCCCGTGCAAAATATTGTTATGGGGAGTATTTAGACTTTAACTAACCTGATGTGGATTTCGATCTATAATAGACTGCTCCTTGAACTTTAGCTTGCAGGAATAATTGCCACTGCCCCTGATGCGCATGGTGCCATAGTGGTCGCAATAAATTTTTCCTAGTATGATATTGTATATAGAGGTAGTGACCTTGCTCCACTGAAACGTCTCCCCATCCTCAAACTGCAAGGCAAGGGTACCCACAGGATCAAGCTGAATAGAACGCCCCCAAAACTTGCCTTTGAGATTGGAGTCCGCCCAGAATTTCCAACCTCTTCCTTCACAGTGACAAGCAACAACCATTGGGTGGTGACTCACCTGAGTGCAAGCTCGTCCTTGTTAGACATCAATCAATGGTTCATAAACATTTGACAATTATATGTGATGCTTCAAACTCAATGAGTCCGAACAACACGAAGCAACAAAGAGGCTACTTTTATCTTTTACCATTTTTCATACTTAATGGACAGAAATGCATTTAAAAGGGTGCTACTAGACATGTCAACGTGCATTACCTTTTCAGAGAAAAAACGAAGTCCTTTATCTGGATAGTCAGCCTCATAGGTCTCCCCAAGGAGAGGATTAAAGGGTTTGCAATGCCGACCTTCTGTTGATGCATAGCCAGATACAGCAAATGCTGCAACATTTAGAATTCTCATTAAATCATTTCCCTGCACCACAGGAAGTCCAAATTAATTCATGTTCCAAAGTGCAGACAATTAGTGATGCATAGTAGGGGACAGCTGAGGACCTTACCCACTTTCCCCATTCCGATGCTCGATCAACCAAGTTTGAATATTCCAGATCTTCAAAGCACTTTTGCAACGATGAGAGTGGTTCATTAAAATAAACAGGAAGACAAACTCCAGACAAGTCCTTCCCAATATTATCCTTGATAATCGACCACAAGCTAATAGGCTTCTCTTTCTCCTTGGGTTCTGGCAAATTATCCCTCCTTTTCACATATGGATATTTAATTGTCGTGATCTCTTCAACTCCATGCAATCGATCGGAAAAGAAAGAATCTCTTTCAAATATAGAACCATTTCCCAAACCTTCCTTGCTCCGGTAGGAAGCACTTCTTAGAGTATCTGAATACAAAATAACTCTCATCAAATTATGTTTCTTTGATTAATCAGAAAAGAAAGAATCTCTATGATATACACACCATTCCCCAAGACTTCTCTACTTCGATAGGAAGCACTTCTTAGAGCTTCTGAAGACAAAATGTCATGTGTATCAAAATATGTTCCCTCATCTTCATCTGTTTCAATTTGGCTTTCATTATCTGCATCAGAATCACTTGCACTGCCCTCAGATAAGACGGAATAGAAATCTGTGTCATGAGCAAAACCATAAAACAATCAAAACTAAGGGTCAAAATTAAATTCTCATTGATAATATAATCAGAAACTGTGTATACGGCGGGAAACCTTTTGAGTAGCACCGAAACTAAAAGAAATATTAAATCATCATTATACATCTCATATTTTAAAACATTGACTTCAACAAAATACGAAGGTTATGGAAATGCCAAAGATGACTGACCACTAAATCTCCTATCCCCCTGTCCATATGACTCACGCTCCTTTGTTTCATCCACTACTGTAGTTTCCAGCTCTATTTTCTCCTTCTGCAAAAGGAGATTTAGATAGGATATTACTTTCTGACTAGCAAGATTTACACCACCCCCCATATTGTAGCAAATTTATTAAGCAGAAACTTAGTAATTATATGTAAGGAAATCTGGTATAAAGCAGTACAGGATGGAAGAAATACCTCCAATTGTCTCAATGACTCCAACAGCATCACGTGTTTACTCCGAAGAGCCTTCAACTGGTTCTGAAGTTCTGACACTTCTAAGAGCATTATTGACTCGCAGTCTTTGATCACTGGCTCATTAATGCCCTCCTGTGCTAATCTTAGTCTTAGTTTCTCTGTCGAGACAACTATATCTCTCGAAAGTACTAAATCATTGCTTGTAAAGACTCGAGGAAACAGATCTTTAGCACCGAGCAGTGCCTCAACCCATGTAGCTCGGTCCTCTCTCGATACACACCACAAGTGAAGAGTTCTAGTTCCTGTGAATATGGAAAGCCGTTTATCATCTGATTTGCTGGCACGAATTGAAGAGACCTGTAAAGCAGACCACTTCAAATTCAGTAACCAAAAACCAACAACTCAAAAGCACAGATATGCGCAATCAAGCATACATGTTATGCATCATCAGATAAAACACAGGCATTCCTCTCAACGGATTCGAGTTTTTGTTGGTCCATCAAGATTGAGGAAAACTTTTGGTGGGTATCAATCAATATTTTCTAAAAATTCCATGAAAAGTGTAAGAATATTAAACATTTTCTGTCTCTTTCGACACCCACCACTTACATTGCAGCAAACGAGTGCACAGACCCAACAAAACGACGCAGAAAATCCCAACTAATAAACGCAATGGATACAGACTTCTTCATTTGCTAAATATAGCATCAACACCAAAAATAGCATTACCTCTATAACACAAACAATGGCTTCACATTCTGTGATAAGCAAAAGCTCATACCTTCAAATGCACTTCTCCGAAAGGCTTCCACGGCCTCGCCGCCGCCGCCGCCGCGCCGCCAAGCCGATTACTTCCCCAATTCGCCTTCTTCATATACCTCAGCGAGTCCTCTCCGATCACCCTCAACCCCTTCTCTCTCACCTGGCTCATCAAAATCTTGTCCGGTCCATGAACCTTATAGTACGAAAGCACGCCGTCTTCGAGCACAAACCACCGCGACCGCCACCCCTTCCCGTAGTTCACCCATTTGTACAGAATCCCAGCCACGCCTCCGCTCACGCCTCCGCCAAACACCTTCGAATCCCTTGCTTCACTGATCGTATCTTCAACCTCATGCCCCGCCGCGACGGAAGCCCTGTCCGTTTCAGTACCGGCCGACGAGACCTGAGCCGAGTAGCTCGGCCTCGAACCGTAGCTAACGTTCCGGATCGGAGCCTCCGGGCCTATCTGGCACTCACCCAACTGCTTCGCCGCCACCGGGGTGCCCCGGTCCCGATCGACCGAAACCGGCGCAATGCAGCACAGCGGGTTCATCTTCAACCCCAATCAGACCATCCAATCAGACAAAAAGCGAATCCGAATCCCTTCCAGCGCGGATCAAACGGCTCCGATTTATACAAATGCAGGACCCGATCCGAAGCCAAAACGAACCTTTCGAAAATGACTTAAAGACTCGGGAGAGAGAAAGAAGAGAGAGAGAGAGAGAGAGAGAGAGAGAGAGACTTATGAAGAGCTCTGCGCAGACAGATCCATTAAAACACTTCTCCTCCTCCTGCTGCTGCTGCTGCTCCGTAATTACATTTTTCATGCGAGGGTAGGTTAAATCCTTCATTTATTTTAATTAAGAGGTAAAAATATGGGATTAAAACTTTAAAATTGGGTGGTTTAAATAATTAATGGCGCAATTAAGGTAAATGCATGGGGTTTGGTTTTTGGGGGGAGGCAGAGAGGGGACAGCTAACGTGCGCGTTTGTGCGCAGGTGGTGGTGATTGGTTTTGTCCGGTGGGAAATATGAAGCTCCCTCGTGCAATTACGACGGTACCCTTGTGCGTTTGGCGTGTGTAATGATTGGATGGGGATGTTTCGGATAATTCCTACGATTTTGAAAGCGATGAGTGAACCGACGGACCGGGGTGTCCGTGGAGGGAAGGGGGGAGATAAGGTGCGCGGGAGATTATCGCGCACGGTGGAGCTTCGAGGCATTTGTCCAATCGATGTGCTTACCGCGAGTGCGTGTTGTTGACTTGAGATCAATATGTTCAAATTAGGGTTGACTTGGGATCAATATGATTAGCTGTTGCATAAATCATTTTTAAGTGCAGATTAAGAGACAAGTGAGATGAATTATGTGTTCTCATTGTGTTTATGTTCAACGCTAAGAATATCTTCAAATGAGACATCGAATTTTAAACATTAAAATGATATTTAATGGATTATATTGTAATTTGACATTTTGTACAATTTTTTGCTACACCCGAATGACATCTTGTCATTTTTTACCTTTTTATGGGGTCTAATTATTAAGACAACCAATTAAATACTTGGAACGCACATAAAAATTTATGATATTGCATCACATCTATTAAAATATCATTAAATGAATTTGACAGCAAAAAACATTGCCTTTAATTGACTCAGTGCCACATAATAAATTAAATGCTCGGTTGGAGATAGTTTGGTGCCATATTTTCATTGTTATATGTGTGGTAGTTTTGACATCTCTTTAGAAGATGCTTTAATACGTTGTTTTGGAAGGGGGCCAACTTTCGGCCACGTGATTGGATGGTTGGGCCTTTGAGGCCCATGTTTGAGGGTTTAGTGTGGGCTATGGCTAGTGGGACCAAGGCCTTTACCAAATGCTATAGGTCGGCCGGGCCCATCCAACTTTAGCTCTCTGCCTTTGCTTTCAAGCGTTATCCATAAAATTATCTTCACTAGATAGTGAAAGCCACAATACGTGACTACGCGTATATGAAAAGATTTAATGAAAATATAACTTTACAGTCTTTACTCCTTTAAATTTAATTTTTTCTAACTTAAATTCTACATAACTCTTTTTCCTAAATAAATCAGTAATTAAGCTTCATCTAAGCAAATTCTTTAACAAAGTTTGACTTCACACATTTCGTATTTTTCGGATGTCTATAATACCCCGAATTACTTGTTTGTTGTCTACAATTTTTTAATGACAACAAAGTTTTAAACTATGAGAACGGAAAAGGGATTAAATGCTTTTAGCCAAAAAAATAAAGGAGATTTTTTTTTTGTGAACAAAAAAATTTCATGCAAAATAATTTACGTACAAAATATAAAAATATTATTTGATTAAAAAATTAAATTAAGAATAAGTAAATGTATTTACACAGACCTTGATATAATAACAATAAAAAAATGTCCAACATGTATGTAAGGAAACCCTTAAGAGAAGGGATATCCATTTTTATAAAATAATAGGAATTAGTTGTGGGGCTCACACCACATTGAACTTTAACGATCTGAATCGTCTATTTTTCAAGTTGCACCTGATAAATCATCTTTACAAAATATTAGCCAAATCGGAAATATTAAGGTATCTACTTGAGTAAAAAAAAAATTGACGAACACTTTGTTCTCTAAGAAGCATTGGATTTTTATCGTGATAATTAAATAAGCATATAGTTTCGAATTGAATTGAATTTTTGTAAGCATAATCTATGAATCTTGACTTACAAAATATATGGTTCTGATCGTTCAAATTCGAAGTAGAGTGAGTCCCACAATTTTAATCTTTATTTTGTGAAAAAAAAAGAAGATATCCCTTCTCTTAGACCATCTCCAACCCTTGGGCTAAAAGCCAAATTTTTTAGCCCGGAAAATTTAGCTTTTAGCCCAGAAACATCTTTTCTGCTCCAACCCTTCTACCCTAAAATTTTAGCCCAGAATTATTAAAGAATGAAATTAGCCTAAATTTTTTTCTTAAATCAATTTAAAAAATAAATAAATATGTAGATTATTGTAAATTAATTTTATGAACATTTTAATCTAAAAAAATTTAAATTTCGATAAACATTTCGCATTTAGCCCGGGGGGAAAGCTGGGGGGTATTTGGCCCAGAAATAGCATTTGGCATTTAGCCTAAAATTTTAGCATGGGTTGGAGAGTGTTTGGGGGGGGTAATTTGGAGGGTAATTTGGCTTTTAGCCCAGAGTTGGAGATGGTCTTAGACCATCTCCAATGGTTGGGCTAAAAGCCAAATATTTTAGCCCAGAAAATTTAGCTTTTAGCCCATAAACAATTTTTCTGCTCCAATCGTTCATGCCTAAAATTTTAGCCCGGGATTATTAAAAAATGAACTTAGACTTTTTTTTTTGTTAAATTAATTTTTTTTTAAATAAATATGTAGACTATCGTAAATTAATTTTATGAACATTTTAATCTAAAAACATTTAAATTCCTATAAATATTGAAAATTTTATATTCTAATTTATGGGCTAAATTTTTTGGGAATCTGACCTTGGTTTAGCATTTTGCATTTAGCCCAAAATTTCCCCTTGGGTTGGATTGGGTTTGGGGAAAAATTTTAGGAGGTAATTTGGCTTTTAGCCCACCATTGGAGTTGGTCTTAGAGGGCCAATATATGTATACAAAATATTTTTTTCTACAAATAAAAAACATCAATTAATTCAAATTAGTATACCTACATCGTGAATATAAATATAGGTAAATAATTTAAAGTAGCAATAATAAAACAATACATGCAAAACAATTTAATATAAAATATATGAATGCTATTCAATATATATTTACAAAAAGGTAAACTAATTTATATATTTTTAAGTTTTTGTCAAAATGAATTTGTAAATTAGTATGTTATATAGATATATAGCTCCTTGCTCAACTTAATTGGGGTGATTATTTATATTAATTGACACTATGAAAGGACACATACTCTGTGTATGAGAAATATAAAATTTATTTATTTCAAATATTATTTTTTAATTATTATTTTTTTATGGGAGGGGTTATTATTTTTTTTTTTAACAAATGATAAATCTACACTAAGAAAGAGGGTGAGTTTAGCCTTACAATGACTGGTGTAAACTTGCAAGTGCACAAAGTAGTCGTAATATAGCGTTTTGCAAGTCCAAGTATCGTTCCCACGAGGATTCTAATTCAATCTCCAATTCGATAAACTAAACCAAATCTAATAATATTAATAACACACAAACACAAAACTATAAATTCAAACAACGGACTAGACTCGATCTTAATTAATAAAATCAATCAAGGATGTGAAGAATTTGTTGTGATGATTTTATAAACGAACAAAAACAGAACCTTAAGTAAAAACTGAAATTAAAGAGAAGAAAATGTTGTGTTTTAAGGCAAGTGATGAAAAGTCTAGGGATTCGGAATCAACCACAAGCAATCTAATTTAGGTTTCAATGCATTCAACGGATCTTTCGATTCTTTAGATGATAATTCCCGTATCTACGTCCTTGTCAGGCACATTAGACCATAGTTTTCCTTAAGTGAATGATTCTCTCCTAGTTCAGGCAGAGGTCGTATATCCTAACATGCAATCTATCCTGGTTAAGGCATAAATTTAACAAATAGGACTCTGTACGCTCTAGAAAACAAGGGAACCAAGCAAACCATTATTCTTTGTCAAGCACAATGTAATTTACCACACTTAACCACAAGAAGCTAATTGAATTATATTGCTAGTTCAGCCTCAAATTCATCTTCCAATCTTACTAGATGCAAAGCCCTAAGGTGATCAATCAAAGAACCCATACAAAGAGTAACAATTCAAACAGTGATTAAACATTCATCTAAAAGAATCTAGAAACCCAATGAATAACAATAAAAACCATAAACATCCATGCTAGGGCATCATCCTAACCCTAGAAAAAGAGTTTAGTTACTCATAGAATCTGAAAACATAATTAAAAATCTTTAAAACATGAAAAACTTCGGAAGGATGGAAAGCGGCTGCTGCTCTTCTTTTGGTTCCTTGCTGCGATCCCCCCCTAAAGCACGTTCCCAAAAAAACCCCCTTTATATGGTAGACAAGTCCTAACATAATTAGGTCTTGTGATATCCTTTGTATTGCATAACTGAATGATGTGGCAAGTAAACTTCCCAAATAATTACTTCAAACCCATTCGAAATAGGATTATAGTCAGCTCAACACGTTCTATCTTGGGCTTTGGACTTCGACTGAATTATGACTCGAAAAACCCAACAGACTTTGCAATTTCCGCATAGACTCGGCTGACCGACGTCTTGTACGAAAACCTTCATAACATTGTCTAGAAAACTCGAAATCACAGTCCGTAAAATTCCTCTGAAAGCTAACATCCATATCTTTCCAATGGTATAAGGCTCAATAGCTGGTTCATTCTGAGGAAGTACAGTTTAATCCGTAAAGTTGACTGATCACAAACAGCTTCTGCTTCCAGCATGCCAACTCATTTTAATCGCAAAAGTGCTCATTTTTCTTCTTTCTTCATCTTCACTCTTCAAATCTAAGAAAAACATAAAACTAAGTGAAACAAACTAAATTCACTCAAAAACATAACAAGAATCGAAACTAAAGGGCGTTAAAATGTATGCAATATTGGTCGTATCAATAACCTAGCAATAATGTAGTTCAAATTTGCATTTGGCGAGAATCGAATATAAGACCTCTCACATATAAGTTTCAAGAAATATCACTAGACTGTAGTACTAAGTGGTGAAGGGGTTACTTGATTTAAACAGGGTTGGCAGCACCCAAAAAAAAAGGGGTTGGCAGTTAAGGGGAGACAAAGAGAGAGATTCGTTTTAGAGGGTAATGATAAGGTGACATGGTTGTGAGGTTCAGAAAACAAAACAGCACAAATTTGTTTGTGTGAAATTACTTAAATAACCACCTTGTTTCTTAATATTTTTTTTAATTAAAGGTATTCGTCAATTTGCCCCCTGAACTTGTAATAA